GCGCTAATCACAAATAACGTCACCACGGTAACTGAAATAATCACGAGTGCTGATCGGTTGCTAAATCCATACGTCGACAGCTTGCTCCCATGCAAAGTCTTATTTAAAATAGTTGCAGTGAACCAAAATTGATTAAATTTTGGATCTCGGTTCCATTCTATGTTATTAACGAATATGTATTTAATCAATACCCCTAAACAACCCAATAGAGCTGACATCAATGTTGACATTATTAAACATTTGTTCCACAGGTTGTACCATATTCTCATCAGGAAACGAGCATCGAATCCGCACAAGTCCTAAGTTGTAGAACGCACCGTCCGCAAAATTAATTTTCATATTCAAGTACACTGGAAAAATTCCACACGTCATCATCATGTATCTCACACTTAATTGAGGAGTTATAGTGAAACACATCCATTTCATGTGTGCATCTTATGTTGTGAACCATGTCTCAAAACTATTGGTTCGAATTGTGACACACTTGGAGTATATGTGCCTCACATGGTGCTATCAATAGCTTTGCATATCATACACTGAAGCAAATGGATGTAAGAATCCATAAGATCTACTTATGAATTTTAGCCACAAGAAATCAGTATGAATTTCACTGATTTACCTAATGAAAAATAGTGTTGACGAAAAAATTATAAAACGGAGTAGACTGGAACCGAACCGTGGACGTTGACGTGTGTTCTCTAATAAAATTGTTATGGTTATTTTGCTTAACGACGTGTTCGGGTTATCATCCAAACAATTTGTGGAATAGTTCTATTATTTGGGTTAACGTTCGTTTATGGTATTTTTTTATTAGGGTTGACCACTCGTCTTTCAGCGCTTGGGAAAATTAAGTGGTAATAGGCGTATAAGAGCTACCTCATTTTAGACGAAAATCATTCATAAGTTACGCTTATGAAATGCATGAGTCTTTCATAAGACGAGCCTTATGAAATTATTAAGTTTATTTGCCTCAGTGTAGTTCAATGTTTTCAACATTCTACTTTACGGACTCCAAAATTGAATTGACAAATATACTTTTTTTTATGGGTCTGATTTAGGAATTGATCCTGGACTATTTCTTTCAAAAAGAGCAATAAATGTTCTAAATTGGTCCCAAAAATAGGCAACTCATTTGCGGATCACGATTTCACAGCAGATGTGGTATTAGTTTTGACGTAGGAGTACGTCTGTGATTTCTATATGGGGGTACACTTAGTGAAAACCGAAAATGGAACATCTAACCAAATTATGAAAGATTCTGATCATTAATAACTCAGCTGCCCCTGGACCAATTTCAATAATTCTATCACCAATCGATCAGAAACATTTCTACAAATCTAGCAATGCCTCCAACTGATGATTTTCAACAAGAAACTAATTAATGTCAAGCATTGTCCAATGTACAAATAAAAAGTGATAATTTTATCACTGTTTTCAAGAAATAAACGTTCTTCCCTAACCCAGTCGTCATAATTCGGGTACCACTTGGTTGTACATCATTCTGCTTTAACCTGAAAAGATATAAAAGAGCGCTGCTAACTAGTCTCAACTCATCCTCAAACTACAAAGGATCCAGAACAAGATCCTGAGGATAATCCTCAACAGTCCACCGCGTACTGTAAATTCTGAGGCCCACCGCCTGGCTGGTCTTCAGACCTTGGCGTTACGGAGAACTACTACCATCAAAAGGTTCAGAGATTGCTGCTTGCGATCCGATCAACAGATGATTAGGGTTCTGGCACGTTAGGTTAGTCAACTAGGCTAAGTAGGTAGAATATCAAATTTTATAATTAAAATTAACAAATATGCTTTCCTTAAAAGCAAAATGTAAACTATTACAATGTAAAACTAAAATCAAACAGTAACTTGCTACAGATATAATCACTAAAGTTGAAGAGCTTTCGAGCTAAATCAATTGAAATGTACAATAATTGTAAACCATAAGACAATAAGTAAATAAACTGCATGGATGTCATCTACGCTTTGAAGCCACAGAAACGCACTCTGTACGTTTTCGCAGGTTAAATCATCACCAACTTTGGCAACAAAACGGCCCTTTTCAGGGTCAACAAGCTTATTGCAGTAAAGAGTTGGAATAGAATATATCTGTGCCTGTTTGTCCATATTCAAAACCACACGCCCCCAACGACCACACAAAATGCTCTCCAGATTTGTAATCTTGCAACCAAACTTGGAAGCAGAGGTGCAAGTCATTCTGATCAATTCTCTTCATCAACTTTCTCTTTTAAAAAATACTACAAATTTAATACGCCTACAATTCAAAAACGGAAAGAGTTAAGATAATAGATGATCGATCAATTAATAGAACTAAATGCTCTTCACATTTGTTTCGTCCACTAGCGTTCCTACGTCAAGCTTCCGTTCGTGCCCCTAGGCACAGACCCATCTACTTTTTCATTACTATTGTGTATTACTGCTGAATGAAGTTTACCTTCCAGAACAAGCAATTCACATCGCATTGAAATGCAAAACACTTTAAATCACACTACTGTTCAACAATGTGCAATACACTTAAATTGATAGATGAAGATTATCAACATTTCAAGTTTCGAACACTCAAACACACACGAACTCATGTAGAACACATTGAACCATGGTGAAATACACAGATGTGATTATCCATATGAAAAATCAAGTGTTTAAACACTTCGATCTGACGTGTGGACTTTTTCGAGTGTAGCGATTGTTCGCAACACTTGCCCACTCATCAGTAGTAAGACTGACAAACTCCTCGTTTGTGAAAATTTTCTCGGTCAATTGTAACTATAACTATGTTAACTATTGTGGCAATGATGATGATGATGATGATGGTCCCACCTCTTTCCCCTACAAAGGTTTAAGCTGTACGATTTATCTTTAAGATAATTAAATATGACAATTTAACCAGGTTTGCAAACAAAATCGGACTGGTTACAGTTACAGATATAAATTCGTTCTAGAGTTTACAGTTGCTTCACAGCGATATAAATGTGGAAAAGCTCAGACGTCCACCTCTTAGTTCGCCTTTTTGTCCACCTAAAATATTCATAAGTATTACGAGCAATCAAGAGTTAATGAACAATCAACAAAGCATCCTATTACACTAGCAACCCCGCAACCTGAAGCTAACATAATTTTCAGCAATATCAGGAATGCTCACGAACCCCCAACATTTGACAGAAAGCTTACTACTAACTCAAGGTATCTTCCAAATAAGCTTCAAAATTGCATTTTTTTTTTAAATCAAATGTTAAATTCAGTCCAATATATCCGGTATGCTAGCTTTGCATTTTTTTTTTCTAAATGTGAAGCGTGATGATCTTGTAGCCAAGTGGTAACAGGGGCCATGTTAAGAATTTTAAAATCCATGGTTCTATTCTCATATTTTAAAGTGTTTTTTTTTTACGCAGCAAAAATAGCTTAGTGGCAGGGAATCAAATCGGAGAGACCAACCAAGAGATAAAACACTTGCGGCAACTACCACGTTAAAGTCTCTCTTTAATATAGCTTGACCGTAACGGTGAAAGGAAAACGATAAAATTGCTTGCAATCTTAGTTTTTTTTTAAATTTTATTATAGAGATTTTTAGCCGAAGGCTAGTTCATCTCTAGCAATCTTAGTTGTCAAGCTTCATCGGAATGGTGAAGTGATAGCCCCCATTTAAACTAACGTGTATCATCTTCTGCGTACGTTATTAAAAGCTTGCAAACATTTTTTTCTCTATCCATCCACCGTCCCGATCAAGCTATATTGCAGACGGAGTTTTTCATGTAATAACGCAAGAGTATATTGTCATTATTACTTGCCGTTACTGTCAATGCGTTATCATTTGGCTCGTTGATCGTTTGTTGATTTGTCATTTTTAGATATTTTGATTCCCTGCTTCGTGGAGTATTTTTGTACTGTAGGCTCTGTGGCCTAATGGTGACCGTTTTTGCAAACTGAGCAGCATCAATAGAAGTTAAGCGTATTGTACTAGGGTAAATCAGAACATAAATCAGCAATACTTTCAAACAAATTTTGGAGAACTCGGTCAGGTGCAACACATTCAATGAAAAGAAATCAAGCTGAACATTGCATTAGGTCCTAAGTAACATTGATCGATTCTCTTGATCGACTTTCTCTTTCGTTCATAACTTGAGCACATAACCGTTTGTTGTTGTGTTTGCCGTATTAGATGCTAGATAACAGCTTCTGGTATCAATTTGTGTGCTGAAAATACATGGGAATGTCTTTAAATGCCCGTGAGGATACAAAGAGAAAGTCGACGAAGAAACTGTCAACGTTACTTAGGACCTAATGCAATTTTTAGCTTGAAATGATGGCAATGCTTTTATGGAAAAGTCCATGAATTTTATCTTTCAATCCCAAGTTTCCTAAACGCATCTTTTAAATTCTAACCATCATATGAATGGTTTATTTTGAGTTGTTTTTCTAAAAAGTTCATATCAACAAACTTGTAAACAAACAGTTTAACATTCAAAACAACGCAAAACCCTTTATTCTGAATGATACTTTGTTTTGAAGAAACTGGGAAACCCTAAAGTTTGTAAATCTTGACAGTCCAGTTCAAAGTGGGAAACATCAAAATAGGGTAATAATTAAACTGTTACATTAAATTATCATCAGAATATTCCTAATCCGGGGAGGCACTTGACATGTTCTGTAAGTATTCTCCAGTAAACAAGTATGTAGTGTGATCTTCCAAACCACAAGTGGCCACCCCTACCAGGGATTCCATAGGTATTTCCCCGCCAATACCAAAACAGAGAAACACCCTTATGGCTAGACAGTATGCTATGGCTGTATGCTCTCGCTCGGAGTGACGACGGCATCTGAACAAACATTATAACGCAGCAACAAACGCGCTAAGCCAAACAACGGGCAAACGGGCGACTATCGCTAGTAGCTATAGGGTCGTAGTCGTCGTCGTCGTCGCCAATGACGAGTATGTGTGTGAAATTTATAAATACATCGCGCTCGATCGGAGCGGCTCTCAGTTGTTGCTCGTAACTCGGTTGGTTGAAGTCTCAACTTGAAACACTACTTGTGTACTGTGCTCTGTTATTGGCGAAGGAAACACGAACCCTGAAAAGTGCAAATCATATGTTTGAGCAGTATCGCGTTTGATTTCTATGTGGAAAGTTTCAAATAGAAGAAAATAAAAGTGATAGCAATTAATTACGGTGTGTTTAAAAGGTGGAGTGAAGAAAGGACATTACAGTTGCTGAGCTAGAAGAATAAAAAAACTATAGCATTCGCAATTTATAAGCTGTGCAAACCAGTGGAACTGTTGAATAAATAAAAACCAAATCATTACGAAACTTGCACGGATCGACGGTGCATCGAGTGGAACATTTGTGAAGATTTACACCAGATAAGACACGGTGCTTGACGAAGTAAATTAGCTGGAAAAGTAGTACATAGTCTATCAACAGGAAATTAAACAAACCCAAAGTAAGTGAAGTCATTGATTCATGGACTTGTTGGAGATAGTGTTTTGTGGACAATGTCGCTATGCTATATAGATAAGTGGTGTTGGTATAGTCCTTGAAGGGTGAACAATGCAGGTCAACGACTATTTCGCCTCCAAAAGTAGTAGAGATTTCACACGCGGCTCTTCAATGTCAGCGAAGTAGCGTAACGGCTTTATATCAAGAACTGTGGTTAACCTCAGCTCATCAAATGCGTGTGTGTATGTGTGTGTGTGTTGTTTATATATGCAACGCAACTGATGGAATTCAAAACATTGCCCTCGCTCTACCAGCCAGGTATAAGGCAGGCAGGTAAGGAGTGTGCTGAGTCGACTGACGGTTTCAGCAAATTAGCTGGCCCAACGGCTATTATTAGTACGCTCTCTCGCCAACCAGCACAGTGGATGTATTAATTGTTAGCCGTTTAATTATTTTAACATGTGCAATGTCTGTTGCAATTTTCTTCCTTGCCGTCGTTCGCATGCGTCGCTCTTTCACTCAGCAGGAGCCATGAGGCATGGCGCCAAGGCGCGTGATTTAAGCTTTGGTGCGGTGAGCGGATTCCTTGAAATCAGCTGACTATGTCGCACCAACATCATAGGAGTAGACCGGTAGTGAGCTGTTCCTACAACTGGCAGAGAGTTGATCACTGCTGCGGTTTTCATTTGGTAATGGTTAGGTAATTTTAGATTCTGCCAGCTGCCTGCAACCTTTGTCGGCTAGATGCAGAAGCATTGGGGAAGTCTCGCTTCAAGGTGGGGGCGTTTTCGAGTGTCCTCGAGTTGGGCTGAGTCATACTCGCAGCAATTTGCAAACAAGTTATGAACAAGCTCTAAAGCAAGTCACTGAATTCTCCATAACTTGAACGTGAATCAAAACCGGGAATTTTAATCGGACCTGAGCTGTAGGTGACAGCCATGCCACACCTTCACTAATTATGACTGGCTTTTCTAATATTTAAAATCTGCGGCTATCCTCACGCAGACGCAGTCAGCAGCCATTAAGCAAATCAAATCACGCGCATCCGATCCTCTCGCATCCAACTGCTGACGCACGACTTGTTTTCGGCTCTGTCTGCAGTCATGTGATCATTCCGCACCATGAGTATTTGGCTCAATGATGCGGGGGTTTTCCGATCTCCCGCTATCCGCTCGACCTCAAGTAAAACTCAACGGACTTTGTTCAAAACTGGCGCAGTAAGCCGCATACTGATCAATTATGAACGCTTCCGCAGCTTGGTCCACCCGAAACCAGTTCATACTTCATCGATCAACCCAATCCCGACTCAAGTTGGTTCCCACCGACGATGCCTTCGAACTAGAAGGACATGCATGGAGAAAGAGCCAGCTCTGATTAATTTATCGTCGAATAATTGAGTTTCCAGCAGTTGACACTGGCCTAAACCGGTCAAGTGCCGGTGCTAACTAATTTAAACTTGCACATCGTGTCGTGCCCCTCTCTTCGGCTAGCGATCGATTCGGACGCAGCATGTTCCCAAGTTGTCCCTTGTTCCAAGATGTTCTGCCGTCGCCGTCATCGTCGTCGTCGTCGGCGACAACTGATTGGAATCAATTGGCAAATGGATGCCTCTTTTATTTGTGCTTTGAATGTGTCATCATAACAGGCTTGGAACTTATGACGTGGACACGCTACGGAATTTGAATTTGACATCTCCGAAGTATCCAGAAGCAGAGGCGGCCCGAAATGGAAGGCTTTTGTGTGACAATTTGTAGGAATTTGCGTGCGAATTGAGTGATCAATTTCGAGAAGGCTTTGTTAAACGCTTAGGAATACTGCTTCTTTTTTTTCCCCTCGAATGACTTTCAGTTTTTGAACCCGTTAACAATGATTAACGGAACGAATACAAATTTATGCATTCCGAATATGTGTAGTCATACTTTGTTTATTTTCCGCCGGTCTCTATTCCGACGCTAAGGAGGCGACTCCACGTCTTCTTCTTCTTATTCTTATTATTATTATTCTTCTTCAGGGGCTTTACGCCGGCCTTCATCTTAGCGTTCTTTGAGCAGTTCAACAGTTGTTAATTGAGAGCTTTCGAAGCGTGTACCATTTTTGCATTAGTATAATTGCGTGGCAAGTACAATCATACTCAATGCCCAGGGAAATTGAGAAATTTTTCAACCCGAATATTTCTAGACCGGATCGGGAATCGAACTCAGCCGCCTCCAGCATACGCATTTATCGACTGAGACGGGACCAACGGCCATACGTCCCTTCCGAAGGAATACGTGACCAGAGATGTTTCGCTTCTGAAAATCCAAAAGACCTAGACTAGGATTGATCACAGATCCATTTCTGCTTATATATTTTGCCTTTAAAAGGCATCAATCAAGCATTAAAAGGATATTACGGCACTTAATGAACCTGTTCCGCTTTAACGGCTCAAAAAATGCAACGTTCAAGCAACAATCAATACGAAACTAACGATTTTAAATTGGCTCTTTACTTGACTAGCCCATTGGTTCCAAGTTCATCTATAAGCGTAGCCCATTCACGAACTAGAATCTGCCTAAGTTTGTGTTTGTTTTGATTGGTATTATAAACTCGACAGCGTTGAAGGAGGGGTTCATGGATTTTCCAACGTTTCAAGGGATGCATCAATTAGATTGGGACTGAAATTCATCCTACATTTATCTTTGTGTTCTTAAACATTCTCGAGAGAATGTGCCTTAATTTCTCTTCTAGAAATCTCTTGGTATGCCATTTAGAATGTAGAAAAATATTGTACCAAAATTTTCTTGGAGTTCATTTCAGAATTCCATAAAAATTTCCTCAAAATGAGATATCTTGGAACTTACAAGAAATTTTCTTATCTTTAGATTTTTTTAAATTTCTTCAGAATCTTCTGAAACACTACTCAGATTGAGGGGGCGTCACATCTAAATCTCAATTCTAGATGCTCAAAAAATCTCACACTAGCTAATCAATCTACGAAAAATCTTCTTTCATTTCTCGCATCTACTTGCATCGTGCATCATCTATTTGCAGGAAATTGCAGAATCGTCAGCTATCTTCTTTCTATCTACTCAGCGTGCGCGCAGCTAATCACAGCAAAACAAAATCCTTCCTGCATCGTAGAGTCACCCCCTTCGACTCAGAGTTTCTTTGAAAGAATGGTAATTGAAATTCCTCCAAATATCTTATGAATTCTCATAAAACTTTGCAAAGATTTTTTTTACTATATTAAGAATGAGATTCAAACAAACGTACTTGATTTTCAACGACTGTCCTTGTGCTGTGTCACAGAATCGATTTGCATTATGCAAGTTAGGTATTAGGACAGTTAAGTTTGCCTTACGATTAATTAATTTCGAATCTTCTTCCGAATTCCCTTTGAATGGTCTTCGAAATTCCTTCAGATTTACTATACAGCAGTGGCGTCCCGTAACCTCACTTTTTACCTGTGCTCCAACTTTCAAAACCAGATGTAATGCCATATTTATACTCGACTCGGTTGAAAAATACACTTAAGCTTCTAGTTTACTCGATATCTATCCATTACAAGCAATATTTTGATAATTGTTTATATTTTGAGAGTTGGTGCACATGTAGATTGAGGTTAAGAAAACGCCACTGCTATACAGTTTTCCATAATAGTCCCTTCAGAACTACCTAAGAAATCATTTGTAGTTCTCCTTACAATTTACTTTAAATACTCCTCAAATCCCCTACATTTCTCCTCTACTCATTTGGTATTCTCATCTTAATTCTCTTGCTAATACTTTGAGGTGTCGAAATTCTAAAATTTTGCCCTAGTCCAAGAGCTACGATTATTTTTCTAAATTTGAGATCTTTAAAATAGGTCAATTTAAAAAGCTCGCAAAGTTCAAGAATGTAAAATACTGGTCTTGCCTCAAAATATTGAATATTTTTTTATCCGAAAATTCAGAAGTTATTCCGTTGTTTATTGACACTCCAAACACGATGCCTCCGGTGAAATGTGTAACGGAAAACTGGCAATATTTGAAAAATCATAGCTCAGTCATTTATTGATGAATTTCAAATCTATTGATGCCATTTGAAGCTACATACGTTAAATGTTCAATCTATCTCAGGTCAAAAACCATCATGCGACTTCATCCATTACCTCACATCATATGAGCCCTTTTGTTCGAATTTCGATTAGTAAGAATAAGAAGGGTCAGATCTCACCATTGGTGGATTAATTCTGGTTTTGCTCTGATTTGCGATGAAAACAGAATCATTAGGGCATTAAATTTTGAATCTGGCCCTGCAGTGGAAGTGCAGGACCTTTGATCAGCCTAAATGTTTGTTGGGTATATGATAATTTAGGGTTTTTATATGAAGGGAAGGGGGTCCTCAAAATGTTTCTAAAGTTGAGTTAAGAACCCTAGCAACCAACTTAGTGCACTTATGCGACATCCGGGTTGACAAATGTTTGATATAACGCTTATAAGCTCTATATTAGCTCTATTCCAGCACATGATAGCCACCTGGAAAGACCATTGCTCCAATAAAAGTCTCCAAAAGTTTCCAAACCATTGAAAAATTGTATGTATTATTTATTCGATTACAGTGATCCAATTTGCACTGTTTTTTTTTTAAACGCTTCGGTCACTCATTGATGTCATTCCTCGCTGTGCCGAAACTCCGACTATAGCTATTGATCCGATTCATTATTATTGTTTAATGTACCTACGTTAAATTAGCATCTTCCCACGAAAATTCGTAAACACGTAAACAGTCATTTCACGAACAACATAGTGTCGCTTCGCCCTAGTTTCACATCTCTTTTCGCTTCCCATGACCCTAGTGGGTGACCCCCGTGTGTGTACGTAAGTACGGACTACTTTCGATTTGACATCGGCTTCCGGTGGCGTTGGTCCAACGAACCACCACCCTTCGCTTGACTCGGCCCAAGGAACAGGTTAATCGTATTCACACACACTGGCTGGCCATTAACGTCAAACGAATTTGATTAAAACACACACGCGCTTCGCG